TATAAGGTACTTAGTAGTTGACAGTTGGAGGCATAAAGTCAGAAGTAATTTCTAGAGAATGCTGTGACTTCCAGTATCAACCAACAATCTCTTGCACTCTGCATTAAATTGATTTGTGCAATTGGCAATGTGCATAAGTCTATATGCAGTCCATCTAGCGTCTCTCTCCAGAAAAATGTAGAGAGGAAGTAGATCATGAAGGACCTCCATGGCCGCTGACGGTGTGGTACTGATGGCACCACAGTGATAGCCAGACAAGCCTGTCTCTGTAAGCCAGAGAGCTTCGCTTGGGCCGTTTTCTATAAAGCCTTCGGCCACCAAGCAGCTGCACCAAGTGATCATTGGTCTGACTGATCTGACAATCATCACATAAATCCAATGGATTTGTTTGGGACCTAAACCCCAAATTTTACCACAAATCCTTCGACATGTCCATAGAGACAGTCTGGATTTGTGAAAAACTTTTTCCGAGTGAGCGTCCCAGGTGAGTCTTTTATCAAGGACAATGCCAAGATATTTCACCTCCGTTCCAAACGGAATAATCTTACCATTGAGGGAAATTGGCGTTAGATCGTCCAATTTTCTCTTCTTGGTGAAGGGAATTAACACAGTTTTGCTGGGGTTGACAGACATCTGCTCCCTCAGGCGTCGTGAGCAATGTCCAACGTGCTTTGGAGGATATTACATGCTATCCTTTCCAACGTGGACCTTGCCAGGATACAGTGTAGGTAATTTAAGACTGGCCTCAAAGAATTGTTGTTGCAAATTTCGGATATGTGGTTGGTTACCTCGTTCACAAGCAGATATTGCGATGACAAACATGTTTGTTGTTCGCTTCAACCCAGTTCGAGGAATTATGCTCTGAAGGAATTTGATTTTCAATTATCGGAAATCATTGACTTTATGTTGATGATAGACACTACCTTGCACTGACGAGTGGCCAAACAGCCCAAAACCGGTCTGCAAGTGTCTTCCAAAAATTGAAAGTCGATTGCGGCAGTTGTATCGCCAACAGTATATACAAGAATAACTTCAGTGAATAATCCAGCACTGACACCTGTCGGATATAATCCAACGCCCTTCGTGGTATCAGCTAAGGGAGTAGTTGTTTTCTGATAGGTGTGAGTCCATTAACCTACAGTTTAGGTAAATTGAGACTGGCCTGAATTTATTGTACTTTTAGAGATAATTTGAGTTTTATGAACTTCAGTGGATTGATGGTGGCTGCTGAGACTTCCAGATATAACCTTCGTCCTCGTAGTCAAAACGCACATACGTACATACATACATACCACTGATGCTGTCTGCCGCAATAACAGACAAAACGGTTGGTACTTCAGGTTTCATTATCACTTTTTGGTATGTCCTTGAGCTCTCTCAACCATTCGGTTTGTATCTCCTCAATCGTTGCAAAACGCCATTCTTTCATGAGTATTTTCAAACTTGGGAGCAGAAAAAGTCGTAAGGGGCCATATCTGGCGAATACAATGGCCAAGGCAGGGTTTACGTTGTTGTTTTTGGTCAAAAAATTACGAACAATCAATGGCATGACAAGTGAACACGTGCATTATCGTGATACAAATGCTATGACTTGTCTTTCCACAATACCGGACGTTTTCTTCGTATTGTTTCTCGCAAGCGGAGCATAACTTCAAGATAATATACTCTTTATTGACCGTATGACCATGTGGTAAGAACTGATGCAATAACGGTAGTCGAAGAAAACATTGAGCAAAAATTTGACATTCGATCGAACTTGGCGTGCTTTTTTAGTATTGGCTCTCCTGGGCGTTCATTGGGACTATTGGACTTTGGTTTCGATATCATAACCATATACCCATGATCCGTCACCAGTTATGACCGTTTTAAGCAAATCTGGATCGCCGTCATTCAACAATTCCTGAGCGATGCTCATGCGACGATTTTTATGGTCAAAATTTAGCAATTTTGAAAGGAACTTCTCTGCCACACACATACGCTGCCGAAAAAATTACATGGCATGAGCCAACCGATACACCGACATCCTCAGCACCTCTCTAATAGTGATTTGACGATTCTCCATAACAATTTTCTTCACTTTGTTGTTGATGTGCTGGGGCGTCCAGGACGAGCGTGGTTATTCACGTCTTCTCGACCTGCTGTACAGTCCGGATTGGGAGAATCTTAGAGAAACGCGACGTGAAACCAATATTTAGGCCAACAAAAACTATCAGACAAAGTCTAAAGTCAGCTAAGGACTCCAGAGAAGCTATAGCAACACCTGGGTTATATCAAATTCCTTGTAGCTGTGGGTCGGTCTACATTGGAACCACGAAAAGAAGTATAGGTACCCGTCACTCTGAACACAAGAGAAATTGTCGCCTCGGACAAATCGACAAATCAGCTGTAGCCGAACATGTTCTTAAAAAAGAAAACATTCACATTATCTCATTTGAAGATACAATAATACTCGATAAAACTCAAAATTACCATCCAAGAGTATATAGAGAGGCAATAGAAATTCAAAAACAGGGATAATTTCAATGGAAAGGAAGAGACAATGAACATTAATAAAACCTGGCTACCTGTCCTTATAATTGTATCTACGCAAACAAGGTCATGTATTTCAACTAATAGAAACCAAGCCACGCCCACCAATAATAATATAAAACCGGAGTCAAATACCAGCATAATAGTTTCTGCGTTGGGAATAACGGGAACAACTCGAGCACTCGACGGTTACTTTATGGCCTTTGATAATGTCTAGCGCGGTAGTAGTAGTAGAAACGTCAGGCGTAAAAACCTGCAGACCACGACCAAAAAATTAGGTTTCAGTTATTTGCATGTTAAAATGAATTGAAGACAAACAATTACCACCACCAATATTACACTAGAAACGCTACTAATTCAATAACAATGACTCACAGAATATCTGCATTTGAAAAATCGCCAACTTATTCTGGGATAAAAATATATGACGAACTCTCCGATCTAATGAAGGCCCGTAATACTGAAAGATTTTTTATTATTTATTACCGAGTTCTTGTGGATATTTCTGTGAAAATGATTTTATTCTTTAATTACATTTATATATTTTATATCATGGTAATTACCAACTTCAGACCTGTGTGTATGTATATGTGAATTTATAGTACATATGCATATATAGGTAATGTAGATATATTTATATGCAAATACCTATACAGTTCCAATTGGATACTTACTTTTTTGATTATATGCACTTTGGATAATTGCTTATATTAAATATAAAGTGACAATTTCGATACCATATAGTTGACCTACAAACTAATACATTTCTTTTTACTTATCTAATCTATCAAAAATTACATCGGATTAAGGAATCAGATTGATGACATCTATTCATATTTTGAAGACTTTTTCTGGAGTAATAAGTCCTTTTTTCAATTTATTTGGATTATTAGTCATGTTTTAACCACAGACAGAATTATAATAGTTATCACCCAATTAAATACTAACTGGATAGAGTACCAGTTTTTTATCAATATTGCCGTCACTGAAAAGTTTTTGCTTTGTCAGTACCTGAAGATTTGATGAGCCAAATTTCTCGACAATTTCCCTGAAATATTTGTTCATGTGATTCTCTTTGAAACAGCGTCGTACCACCTTCTTCAAAAACTGATTTTTCAAAGTAGATAAAAAATTCGAAATTTAGTCTGAAGATTCTTTAAAACAATTCTATGTTATATAATACACTCTAGAGATATTATAACAGTGTAAAGAACAAGCACGCAATCACATGCTATCACTGAGATTTTCACAAAATAGTTTACAAAACCGAATCATGTGTTCCACTATAAAATAACTTCTTCCGGTGTGTTCAATATGCACAAAAAAATTGAAACTCTTGTTAAGTATTTTGTGGAAATTTTGCAGTGAAGTGCTATTAAATGGGTTTATCTAATCTAACATCCTTGAAGAAGATTGGCTGTGATTATTGAAAGACCTAATAATCATCAACTAAGGTCAGTCAATAAATGTTTGTGATATGTAACAATTTTATTTTCTGAAATGGACGATCAATTGGGGTTAAAACAATTACCCTCTTCGTGGAAAGATATGTGTCAACCTCGTATCAGTATTTGTTATGTGGAGAACTAATCAGATTTAGCACTCTAGCAAACTCACGATTCATCGCATTGGTTATTTTGTATTGGTTTCAGTTTGTTCACCGTTAATTAGCTGCTCTCAGATAAGCAGAAGTGCTTCTTCTACAAGATCTACATCAAAACTTGAATTAGTCTCGTTGTGTGACTCTGAAATCCTAAAGATATATCTTGAGTTATTTTTGGATGTGAGGATCGATATGAGAGGAAAATTTGTTTTATGAACTTAATCAACTATCAAAAATTCACAGGACACAGGTGCTTCAAATCAAAACTGTTCACTTTTTTTTTAATATATATCCAGAATATAATATGGTGTAATGCTGCCTCAAAAACTGCTACTTTCAGCGAGATGCGAGGTATTCACACAAGATAGACTGTCATGTATACATAAGCGCCTCTTAACACATGTGAAAACCTCTGTCTGAAACGAAAAGTTCAGAAGCTGTGATGAAAACAAAAAGTGTGATAAGTAAACTGAAATTTGAGTATTCCGAGCTGAAAAAGAAAGTGAGTCACCTAGAAAAGTAACTGAACCTATTCTACAAAATTCCTCTACTCTCCCTAACTAACATGAAAAATAGTCTTTTAAAGATCCGTTGAAAGGTCAGTAGTGAAGCCACGCTCTGCAATAAACCTCCTGGAAGTAATTATGAGCCAATCTCAAGGATATAAATATAAGTTCAGCGTGAGAAAAAACAATAATTGTAGTCTTTAAGATACTAACCCCACTTGTAGGCGAAACGTTGGGAAATGCATTTAAAATAAACGACAGTCAATAACCTCAAGAATCAATCCCAAATACGAAGTAACCTGACCGCAAAAACTTCTTTCAGTTAATTAACATAGCATTAGTTGAAGGTAAATAAACATAAAAACAGGAACATGATTTTTAATATTATCACAGCCTCCTCAGCAGTGATTGTGTATCAAAAATATATTCAACATTTCACATAAAACAACATTTTTTACATTTTGGGTAGATGAACAACATATATGTATAAAAATCATAACAAACACAAAAAAATCAATACTATTAGTATAACCAACAACTTTTTAACTGAAAGTATTTCACATGCCAGCAAAGGTAAGTTCATTACAATAGCAAGCAAATAAAAAAGGTGTTCAAACAAAACAAAATTTTAGCAGCATATATGAAATAGAAGATCATTACATAACTGATCTCTCCGAACATTATTACAAACTATTTTTGATTTCTGTATGTAAAGTGATGAATTTCAGTGCAGAAATAACAGAATTGAATAATGGAGAAAAAGGTACACTGTGCATTTTATCCAATACATGATGGAAGAACAAGATTGTTTTCATAATCCTCAATAACTTTTTCATTATTTGTGTTCCAGGTCTTCAGAGGGCATTAGAGCCAGATACTTCGATTGCTGCAGAGAGTCGGTGTATTCGCATGCTGTGAGAACTATTTGGTTGAAGGTTCTTGGTTTGTCAGCATAAACGTGATGACCTGCACCGCTAACAACCTAAAAAAGGATTTGATTCAATTCCATTTTATTTCACAGGTGATTCTGAATACGTTGTCAATGAACGAAAGTTCAATGAGCAAGTTGAAATTGTCTGTTCTTTAGAACCTTCAAACAACACAAAAATCAATTGTCTTTGTATGAACATTGAGTTTTGTGGAAGAACGAACAAAGACAAAGAACAAAATATTCGGACTATATTCAAAAATAGTCTGATGAAATTTTCAACTCAAGGTATAAAATTCAACCAATAAACAGGCTGTTTCTTTTATCATGTGATAACATTGCTATATTCCAAACCGCAACAGATATTGAGATGATAAAAATGGGAAGAACAGTACAATGGTCAAAGAAAATTTACAAGGACTTTCGTCCTTCTCGAGGTATATGAGGTAAACTGAAAATGCTGCTTTTGTTTTTTTACAAATAGAATTATTTCAGAAAATCCACCATCATAATTTTTTTTCTAATAAGGATCTGTCTCTTTTATTACAAATATTGATAAAGCAATGGAATCAAAATTCAGACATATTTTTATAGGGTTTTATTTAAAATAACTAACATCATCATTGACAATAAAAGAAACAGAAAACAATTTATTTTATAATGAATTTTTGATGAAAGAAAATCAATAGAGAAATGAATACTGCGTGACAAACCATATTGAATGTTCGAATTGACGATCTCTCTGTTGAATGCACATAAGTTGTTCATATATTTATTCTTTGTAGCATGATGAGTATAATGCTATTACATGCATCTCCTATGTTTTCTGTGGTCGATATCTGTACTAAGTGTCGAAAAACCTTTATCCTTCATGTATCGCCAGACAAAAAACCTAAAAGCAATGGATCCATTATTTCCAATCCATCTGGTTGGGAATATTGCAAATAAATGTCCCCTTACTATTGTGTTGTTATAAAAGGCGGCGAATATTATATCCGCCTGGGGTGGCTAAATAGCTGAATCAGGCCCTGTTATTCAGCTTGTAACAATTTTGAGAAAACTGTTTTTTTTTTTATATTTTCTATGTCAAAA